GACTGGCACAGTGTCCGGGAGGGCAGGGCTTTGGTGCCTTCTCACAGGGAGGGCCAGGAAGGGCTTGACCCTTTGAGCTGGAGCTTCTGCCCCACGTGAGTTGCAGGCACGCCATCTGCTCTCCGGATTATTGCCACTGGCTAACTGGTTAGGCCACACACACATGCACACACACCTCCAAAGGACCAACACCAACGCTCAGTCTAAACCCATAACAAGGAAGGGAATATTTTTCTAAGACTGATTCATACTTCTCAAGATGCTTCACTCTCCTTGGCCAGCGCATCACAAGATCGTGGAGAGAAGTATTTTGTTCTCTTTCATTCCTCCCCCATGCCCCTTCCTAACTGTGTCCTTTCAGACTCCCAGAAAAGAGGAAAAAGCCTAATGTAGGGTCACAAGACCTCTTACTGTCTGTCCTCTTGCAGGAAGGGGGTAAGGTCAGAACTTCCACTGTCCCACCCACCCTTTGTCAAAGGAGGCTGAATTGAGGACAGAGGTGCTGGCGAATAACACGGGGCCTACATAGTCACTGAGTAAAAATCCTGTGTGCTTCAACACAGAGAAAAACAAGAAGCTCCTTTACTATGGGCTCTTCCATATTCTCCACACTCTAAAATAAGTCAAGGCTATTTAATCAGCACAAACATGGATGACACTTTTTGAAATGGACCGATACCCTTTCTACTCACATATATCTCTCTGCCTAAGAAAACCAATTATTGGGGCTACTAGAAGTTCTGGACTAACAGTTACTAGTTTTCCTTTTATTCATATGATATAGAGCGATGTTTCCCAAATACAGTGTGTGAAATCCCCTTGAGGGCTTGTTAAAATTGCTGCCCTGGAGACCATTCTATCCAGGAGGTCTGGAAGGCGTTCCTCATCCCCTGGGGGGTTCTAAAGCAGGTGGTCATTCCCCTCCATAGTTAGCTTTAGGTGCTCCAGGCAGACAATAGGAGCTGGAAGAACTGTAAAAATTATGTTCATTCCTAAAGGGTTAATCTGCTTTCCAGAGGTGCCATACTTTCAACAGAAAAAAATAAAATCTATTCTAAGGACTAACTATATAATTAGAGGATAATAACAACCCCTCTGGAAAAAAACACAGTGATAAAGAACAATGGAATTTGTGGATTAATTAGCAATACAATGCTGAGCTTTGTGCAGTTAGAGACTGATAATACAAGTACCTCAGACTGGCTCACAACACACTTCCTGGATTTCTGAAGCTGAAGAAAATTCACTGGGTTTCAGGTCAAATCTGAGATCTTGCTTATATTACTCAAAAAAGCATAACCATTCAGCAGGTTGTATGTGATGTGGCTTTGTTCTGGTATTTTTTCTTTGCATTCTATTTACAATACTCAGGAAGAATTTTTAAAAATTAATGAGTTTTAAATATTGTATGCGTACAAATGTCGATCATTCATTTATTAAGTAAAATATTACTGAAAACTGAAAAACAAAGATACAAAGATGATTGAAACACGCCCATGTTGTCACATTGCCTACAATGTAATGCAGGAGTTGGAAAAAAAAAATAAACCAAGGTTAGGTGTCAAAATGAAGAAAGTATATGGTATATAGGTGAAGTATTCATGAGAAAGTCATCTTGAGGAGGTCGCAGGGGACCAAGCTTGAACTGGACCTTGAAGGCTTATCAGTTGCCAAGGGGTGAACAAGCGGAAAGCAAAAACAAAAGAACTAAAGGAACACGGAGGCATGAATTTGCATAGCAAGTAGTTTGGGTTGGCTAGGATATGGGACACTAGGGGACACTGGCTGGAGACTCATCTGGAGAGGGAGACTGGCCAGTCCATGCTTAAAATTTGGACTTTATCCTGAAGGCACTATGAATCCATACACTAAAGGCTTAGCAAATATACTAAATATAATTTGCTTAGAAAGAAAAGTCTGAGGAGGCATGGAGACTGGATTGGAGGAAACAGGGAGAGAGAGGACTCATTTTGAAGGGGTAATGGGCCTGGGAGGGCAGTGGAGGTGGAGGGTCCATATGCAGGGATGTCTAAGGGGAGGGTGGGCAGTGCCCAGTGGCTAGCTGGATGACAGACAAAAGGCAGATGGATGACTCGAGGATAGCATCCACATTTGTGGTATGCAGAGCTGAGAAGATGGGGGTTCCAGTAACCAAGCGAGGACACATAAGTAGGAGAGCGACTATAGCTCTTTTGAGTTGTGTTTGGGACATACAGAGCTCAAGTTTCCTAAGGGTCACAGGAATTAAGATATTGGTAGATTACATATAAGAGTCCAAACTCAGGGAGATTTGGAGAGGAATATAATGTTTGGGGCAGAGATAATACTCAAAATATTGATAACCATTAGAGACCAATGGTCAGGCATAGACACTGACCAATGAGAATAGATGCCTGGTGGACCAGAAAGAACTGCAGCAATTAACTGCTAGCAAGACACCAACTGAACACCACATTGGTACTGACAGTCATCGGATTGGAAGAGCAGAAGGGAAAGCAGAATGGAAGAGGACACGGGACAGAGCACTTACAATGGGGTGGTGCAAAGGAAAAGAACCTGGAGAACGAAGATGAGAAGGAACCGTCAGAAAGACAGGAAAACTAAGAAAGATTTATGTCATAGAAGACTGGGGACCAGGAAGCTTCAGATGGGAAGGAATGGCAGTATGGACTATTAAAGAGATGTCTTACCCATCTCTTCCCCAGCCAGACTGTTTGTGGTGTGGATGTCTACAGGGAACAAGAGCAGTGCTCAAGAGGTACCAGGAACAATGGAATCTCAAAGCTGAGGGATGAGGGTGACCCAGCACAAGTTAGAGTCCAGGGGGAAACACTTAAGTTCTTCCCAGGAGTGACCTTCCACTAAAGATGGTGTCTCCAATCATGCTGAAGCTGAACCGGGGCTGGATGGAAGCAAGAGGCTGAAATGAAGCCAACCGTTAGTGGGTATCTCCCATTATCACACCAAACGTCACTAGGCAGCTGACCCATCTGCCCATTTCCTTCCTCAGACACAAAACAGACAATTATCCCACTGACCTGCCTGGGCTCACTGCAAGGCTCTCTCTAGAGGGTTCTCGAGTTTACTCACCTCAAGCCTGTAAAATCTCTTCCCTGTAATCTTTCTCCATTTCAGTCTTCTCCTCTGTGACAGAGCATTAAAATCAAGTTTCCTACACCTGCTTCAAGCCTATTTAAAATAGCATGAGAGCATTCTGCTGATTCTCTGAGAATTTGAAAAAAGGTGGACAGAGTCGCAGTGAACACAATTGTTGGAAGGGAAAAAAAAGTAATATAATACTGTGGAATTATTTGAAAGTGAGGACAAACATTTAATCTTTGATAAAACAAGAGAAAATTTAGTGTTATAGTGCAAATCAAAAAAAGATTTAGGTTTCTTTAAAGAAAGATGGGGCTGAAAAGTTCTTAGAGCTTAAAACGTGTTATTATTAGAGATGCCGTAAAACCAATGTTAAAATATTATTTCTAATTTTAATCTTTTAGGGGAAAATCAGGCTTTGAATCACTTATAAGCCAGATCCCACGCACCCACACCACCCCCCCCAAACACAGGCCTGGGTAGAAGCGACCTGTCCACGTGTCGAAGCTATAGCGCAACTCGAGGGCCCTGCTTCCACCCGCCTCCTGACCTTCGATGTCGTGACGAGCGAGCGCAGCTACATCAACCTTGGGCAACGAGATGCAGCCGCGTGCGGCATTCTGGCACTGTCCGGAGCATGCTCAGTCGAGTCCTGACCCACTTTGCAGGTCCGAGCTCCCGGCAGGGGGTCGGAGGTGCTACTTTGTTCCGTTTGCCAGGGACGGAGAGCAGGAGGAGAGAGGCTGGGAATTGCTTAAAGACGCCTCTCTCCTTGTCAGCAGTCCCTGACCCGGCGGCGGAACATGCCCAGTCTGGCATAGGAGTCACCGGTAACGTCAATGTTGAAAGTCCATCCTTCCGGGTTTTCTCAGCAACCAAAGGAGAAGGGGGCGGTACTGGAGTAAAAGGGTCGGTATGGGGGCGTGGCCAAGGGGCGGCCCGAAAGGAGCCAGGGAGGAGGAGCCTGGTCCGGGCCCCAGAAATTGTCTCCCGCAAGCCTAAAAAAAGGGGGGCTGGGGGGGACGGTGCTTACATTGCAGGACGGTGCTGCCGAAGTTCTGCAGGTGTTTTCAAAAAGTCATTTTAGAATAACATAGAATAACATATCTTATTTAAAAAGCACCAGATTGTCCGTTATATAAAACTGAGAAACTGTAACTAATCAAAAAAGAAAATTTAAAAATCCCTGGAACCCCACCACTCAGAAGCCACCAGTGAACATCCTGCTGTACTTTCTTGCAGCCGCTTCTGTGTGGGCTTTAGAAGTGACAGCAGAGTCACCCGGGAAGGCCTGCGAAGCTTTTGATTGCCAGGTGGCTTCACAGGTGGCCTTGGAATAGGGTAAGTCCAGAGGCTGGACGGTTGGCTCTCTCCCGTGTCCCAGGATGGGATCCTAGGAAACCTGTTCCTGGGTGTCCCTGAACAACAATGCGACGCGACGCTCAGAAAAGTTGCGCTGGAAGCCCTGGGAGCGCCCTGCTCCCCAATTATCAGTCACGCTGCTCAAGCATCACAGCGTCGGAAATAAGTGCCCTCGGCTCCAGCAACACCCTAGGCGTGCTTGAGCGGAGCCCCAGGGACCGAATCCCGCCCCAGAGGCTGCGTCGGCTGAATGAGGGACTCCCCGGCACACTCAGCCCGCCCCCCTCGTCTGCGGGCGGATCCCGCGGCTCTCACAGGTTCGGCCGGCGCCGCCCGCTCCGCCCCGCCCCCGTGGCTGCTGCGAAAACCCGGCGGCGACACCCCTACCGGCCCCGCGCCTCCGCGCCGCCCGGCGAGCCGCACTGGGCATGCTCGGCACCGGCCGGCTCCGGCTGCTGTAGGTGGGAAGCTCCGCACTCCCGGCCGCCCGCGGCGCAGCCCGCATCGCTGCCCGGCGCCCGCGGAGGCAGCTCGCCCGCAGTAGGCGCTGCCGGGCGCGGGGCGTGGAGTGGTGACGGCTCACAGGCTGGCCATGGCGAGGGGCGCAAGGCGGCCACCTGAGTGGCGCGGCGGCGTCAGGTTAGCAGGGGCGCCGGGACAGCAGGGGCAGCAGGGCGCGGGTGGCAGGGAGCCCCGCACGGGTTGGGCGGCCGGGTCACTGCGGCCGCTGGGGCCGGGCCGAGGAACTTTCGGGCGCTTAGGCTGGCGGAGCCCAAGGAGGAGGCTGCGTACTGGAGGCGCCGCGAGGTTCCAGTAGCGGGCTCCTGGGGGTCTCAGGATGCTTCGAGATACGTGCGGGGCGGGATCCAGGGGGCCGGTGGGTTGGGGACAGCCACCTCTCAGGCTTGTGCCGTAATCTTCCTACGGCGAAGAGCGCGGTGTCTACAGTGTGATGCCTAGGAGCCTCCCAAACCTCCGGGGGGCAAGGGAACGCCAAGCAGCGGCGGGGCCCTTCGCCGGACTCCAGATCGCTTGGGTCACCGTGCCTCAGTTTCCCCGGGACGGGGGTAGGGTGTACTGTCCCGTGGCTCGGAGGCCCTGAGTTCGTGTTCTGCGCCCAGAGCCGGGAGAATGCAGCGTCCTGATGCTGCAGGAGTGCGGGAAGCTGTGGGTGCAGCAAGCCACCGCCTCGCGACTGTAGCTCTCGGAGTTTGTCGCATTTGACTCCATAGCAAGTTGACATCGAATTGCTTCATGGCATGGAATGGGGAAACGTGCTTCATCGGCTTAAAAAAACCAAAGTAATTGCAAAGCCGATTTATTTTAAGCTCGACTATTAACTTGCCTTGGCCTCCAAAAAAACTTGAGCTTGCAAGTTGCAAGATTTATAAAGCAAGCTAGCAAAAAAAGAAGAAGAAGAAGAAGAATGTAGGTCCATTATTTGTTCACACCGTAGAAAATATTATGGTCGAATTGTCATTGTTTTTAAGGATACTTGTTAGCAGAAAAGTTTGGTTACTGTAGCAGTCTTTATTTTGTGTTAGCTTATGTTAAGAACTTGGAAATCTAGCTTTGGAGAAGCTCAGTGTTTTTTGTAAAGGTTTCTCACTTTTGGTTCTAGATGAAACACATTTTTTTCAGTTGCTACTATGCTGAACATAGTAAAATCGTTGAGGATGAAATGCAAGATGGAAGAAGATTTATATTCAGAAGGGAGAATGTTTGAACAATGTAGTTCCTACTGGCATTTTACTTTTACAGAAAAATGCGGTTAGTAGATCCCACTGGGGTTTCTACTGTTGGTTTTTGCTAAAACATTTAGTACCATTACCACTCTTAGGATTATTGGATTTAATCAGAGCTAGGTAAACAATTTGTTCTAGTGGGAACCTGTTCTACCTCTCAGGCTATATCCTCAAGCCTGTTTCCATAAGTACCACTTAGTAGGTTCAGTTGTTTTATTTATTAAGCTTATTTCAAAACTTCTTGTTTGCATTCTTGACAGACCTTAATAGACTTTGGAGGTGCATTGACTTTTCATTGGTTTGTGAATAGCCTTTAATGTTTGTTCTGGCCTGAGATGGCTCCAGCTCTAATTCCAGATCCTCTGAGTAATTTCCCCAGGGAGCTTTATGCTTAGCCTATACATAACCAAGATTTAAGAACAGGAAAGGCTTGAAATGTCCAGACAACAACAATAGCAATGACATGATAGTCTTTCTACAAATTAGGCCTGAAGTCCTCCATCTTAGCCCAGTTGGTTGGTTGGTGGTGTTCATTGCTCCTAAATGTACTTCTAAATACATTCACAGAACAATTTAGAAGTTTGGGGGAAAAAACAAAAAAACACAAACACTGAGAAATTGCACTTCCCTTCTCTATAAAAATGCACCACGTTTAAAGTCGGCCTTGAAGCACCGCATACATGCACAATTAATCCTGTAGAGCAAGTCTTGTGTTCTCAGGCTGCATTCCCAAGTGGCAGTCAATAATGTCTCCCCTTAGCCTTGGCTTCTTCTTGACCTAGAGGAAGCAGCAAGGCCTAAGTGTCTCTCTTTGTGAATGTGAGGTTTAATACGGATCAGTAGGCCCCCTTTTGGATCTAAAAAAATCTCATTTTTTCAAGATTAGGAAAAGCAGTGAAATTTACCAAAAGGCATGTTTAATCACTGCTTATTGCCTCAGGAATTCCACAAGAGAATGGAGTTTCCTAAATGAAAATGACCAAAACTGACAAGATTTAGGTCCAAGAAGGGTTTTACTATTGCTAATGAAGAAAAAATAGCAGAGTAGACTTTGTATTTAAATTAGGAAACAGGTGATCAATTCTTCTTTTTCGTTTCTTTTCTTTTTTTAAGATTTTTATTTATTTATTTGACAGAGAGAGAGACAGCGAGAGAGGGAACACAAGCAGGGGGAATGGGAGAGGGAGAAGCAGGCTTCCCGTGGAGCAGGGAGCCAGACTCGGGGCTTGATCCCAGGGTCCTGGGATCATGACCTGAGCGGAAGGCAGACACTCAACGACTGAGCCACCCAGGCGCCCCCAATTCTTTTTCTGTGCCTGTTGGGTTCTTTCAACTCAACTGCTAGGCATGTAGTTTTTTATTTTATTTCCATGTCTTCAGATTTCTGTACTGTATGGTATTGTTAGTGACATTGGATATTCACAGCAAACTCTTGGCCTTTAAAAATAGATCTTCCCGCATTCACATGGCCATAATTTATTCAACCTCGCCTTCGGATTGTAATTTGAATAGTTGAGTAGTTAAGGCTATTTTAAATTTTGTTTAATTTTGAACTTTTTGTTCTATTTTTTTTAAATGAAAAACTTCCAGATACTGAAATACCAAATAAATATTGTGGCAAAGTGGCTTTTAACCTCCAACGTAGTATAGTCAGATTTGTTAGATGAGTGTCATTTTTTGGAACTCAGAAATCATTCAGATAGTATCACTTCCCTCACCTAACCAAGCTCTTGGGGTGCAGCTTGCCCTTTTCCAGCCATGCCTCAGAGGACACTTAAAACTGACATGTTGTGATCCATGGCAACTCACATTAAAGTTAGAAATCTTCTTAAAAAAGAAAAGAAAAAAAAAGAAATATCCTTAGATGTGAATGGTCTAAGTTTGCTATAATGCCTCCCTGGAATGGTTGAAGAATTAAGGGGTTTGATTGATAATGGGTTAGGACCCAGTTAAGAGCTGTCGGAACTAGTTTCTAAGCTATGCTCAGAAGCCCTGTGAATTTATTGTCTTGCCTCTGCCTCCACCTAAGGTCTTCACTCATCAAAAGTTAGGCCCTGAGGCCTAACTTTAATAGTTAGGCCTCAGGGGCTGCAGAAATGAATAAGACTTGGTGACTCAGAATCTAGCCAGAGAGACAGACTTGAGGACAAACTATAGTGCAAGGTAAGTGCTCCAAGAGAGGTATTTGTACAAGGGACTGAGGAGACAAGAGAAATGAGCCCCTTGGGTTGGAGGAAGGGGGTGGGGCATGAAAATAGTGACATTTCCATAGGATCTTAAGGCATGACTAAGGAATTTGGGCAGAAGTCTTCAAAGCAGAGAAGTGAACACTCCAGGCAGAAGGAACACCACTTTGGTAGTTAGAATAATGGCCGCCCAAAGATGTCCACTCTGGGACTTTGCAGATTGATTAAGTTGAAGATTTGGAGATGGAGAGATTATCTGGATCATTCAGTGGGCCCAGTGGAATCACAAGAGTCCATATAGGTGAAAGAGGAAAGCCGAAGTCAGTGTCAGAGTGAGGCCATGTGAAAAAGATTCGACTGCCCCTTGCTGGCTTTGAAGATGGAAGGGGGGCACGAATCAAGAATGCAGGCAGCCTCTAGAAGCTGGCAAAGGCAAGGAAACAGATGCTCTTCTAGAGCTTCCAGAAGGAACACAGCACTACCAGCTCTCCGATTAGCCTAGTAAGATCCCTTTTGAACTTTTAACCCACAGAACTGAAAGGCGACACATTTGTATGTTAAAATCACTCAGTTTACGACTTAGTGTCATAGAAAGGAGCAGTAGAAAGCTAATACAACCATTATGCAAAGAAAGACTTGATATGATGGAATAATGAGCAGAGGCAGGAGAAGGAATGAAATGGTCCTTTCATTGTGATGAACTTGGTGCCATGCATAGGAGTTTGGATTTTATCCTATTACATATAGAGAAACAATGGGAAACCAGCTAAGCATTTTTAAACAGGAACATGCAATGAAAGACTGTTGCAAGATTTATCTTCCTAAAAAAGCAATGTATGGCTACACCGCAAGTTTCATACAGCTGTTTGACAAAGGATGTCTAGCCAGAGGTGGTCAGTGACAGAAATCTGGAACCCGCATGTATATAATTCAATTCTCTGAATTGATCTGAGATGGCATTTGTATACATCTGTGAAATTAATAGCTTAAGAGACTCTTATTCACAATTTGTAATAGAAGGTCATAAAAAATAAAGCAGGAGGGCCAAGTCACATTTTGACTACTTTGTTTCTGCCCATTGTCCTCTTAGCAGACAGCTGCTCTGCTGGCTGTATACCATGCAGACATGACCAGAGAGCCATGAAAGCTCAAATCTAATGCAGTTAACTTGAGATGATGTAATGTCACCTGGGCCAGCTCTGACCAGTTGCTCGTAGCTTGTGGGATGTTATGGGCTTGTACAGGCTCAGCTGGGAAATGGCCAAAATCAACTAGCAGTCTTCAGTATAGGCTCCGTATTTGCCAGGGTATGGATGAAAGCTATGATACTAGATGACCTAACTTCTGTAAGAAATTCAGTCATTCTTTCCGAACATATTTATTCACTGTCTCTCTGATGTTCAGGGGCTTAATTTCTGCCCCGTAAAAACTTACAGTCTGGTTAAGTTGACATCTCTGAGTCTGGAAAACCTCAACTGAAGAAATCTACCTTAGTGTTACAAGAGAGGCTCTGAACTGAAACTAAACTATATGTTAGAAAAAATTGGTAAGACAAAAATACACTTTTCAGACAGCATGGGCAAAGGAAGCCCTTGGCTGGCAAAATCTGAAACTGGAAACAGTGAGACTTGACTAAGAATCATCTTAATAAAAATAAAACTGTGTATCTACATTGTCTAGCTCCTGTTTGTATAACCTTTAAGATTTT